TTAGTTAAGGATCTTGAGTTTGGAAGTCATCCTGGATTATCCAGGTGGGCCCAGTGGATCTCAGGATCCTCAGAAGAGGGCAGAAGAGGGGTCGGAGCCAGAGAAGGACACACGATGATGGAAGCAGAGGCTGTGTTGAAGCAGGGCCTCGAGACAGGGCTGGATAAGCCAGAAGATGTATTCTGCCCTGGGCCTCCAGAAGGCACCTGCCCAGCCGACACCGATTGTAGTGATTTTGGTGTTTTATTCTCCTGGGGCATCACACAGCAGCTCGCTGGGGATGAGGATCGGGGGCATCTGGCAGACAGATGCTCTCCCGACAAAGTGGAGCGTGGACAGTGCTCAGCGCGGACCTTCAGACCTGGGCTGACACACGGACTGACTGCTGCTACGCTAAGGGCACTAGAAGGGAGAGAAGGGAGAAAGGTGACAGCCATGCCCATCCCTGCCCCCCCTCACCCCCAGGAGGGAGCTGTGGGACCAAGGCGGGCAAACCAGGCAACCCCCACCTCTTCTCACTCAGACCCATACCTTGATGACAATACAACTTTCATTTGTATTTAACTGATTTCATCATTTTTTAAACTTTGTCCAGAGACTAGGTGGTTTACTTAGAAAACCATGTCTTCGTAATGAAAACAAAATCTTCAGAGGGAGATTTCAAGTGCTTAAATTGTTCTGAGTATTTCAGAGAAGTAGCCGTCTAAACACAAGAACTATCCTTCCATCTTTCAATGAAAGCAGATGCCTAAGACTTCCATCAAGTGAAGGTCTATAGTTTAACAAATGCTCTTTCAAAAACTTTTTGCCTCGATGAGCCTTCCTGTGACTCGTCGTCTGCATTTGTGAGTCTCTGTCTGCTGTCAACAGACTCCGCAGGAGTGTAGTGCACTGGGTTAACTTTCAGTTCCTCAACCCACTCCTCCTGTGAGTGCCAGCTCTCTTAGTTCCCACTTATTCAACCTGTGACTAAGAGCCTAAAACATCGTGAAGATTAATGACATAGTCTACAGGAAACCCTCTAACACTCAGGAGTACGGTCACTCCAGAAAATAAGTAGGTCAGTGTGTGTGTGTGTGTGTGCATGTGTGTGTGTGT